ATACTACCATTGCATTCACAAATATTTCAATTATAAATGCTTCTCAGTTGACTGTATACTTACCAGTCAACACCTACAGAAATGAGAAAATAAGAATTAACCAGAACACAAAAGCTTAGAAAAATGTTCATGGTTTTTATTTATGGAAAGACCTTGTTTTAGTCTCTTTAAAATGCAACTTTTCACCCTTCCCAATGTTTTGATATTTAGTTTTCACATGCTGTGTTTTTATGAGAATGATCCTAGTACTAACAGTCCAGAGTAATGGATATTAAACAATGAAATACTGATACTTCTGATAGGCAAGTCTATGAACTGATCATGTTAACCTATTTTTCTTACAATACTACTCTTCTGTATTTACTATCCTCTCTTCAATCTGTGATTTGAGAATTAGCTAAAAACAAATTATTTTCAGCCACATCACTAACATCACAAGTTAGTAAAAAAAAAAAGATCTGAATACAAAACCATTAAGCTATACGGTGGTCGTGATGGTGGGTGGGGACAATGGAGACAAAGACACTGTCTGTACCCTTTAAAGAGTTTACAACATAGAAAGGAAGGGTACAGGGCAAATACCCAAAGAGACAAGAAACAATGAAATTAAATTACATCATTGCTCACATATTTTCTCATAAGTGCTGAGGGAATTCTTGAATTACATAACTAGATACTGAAATTCTAAGTACTTACTTGTGGTGACTACTGCTGTGACGATGGTGGTGGTGATGATGGTGGTGATGGTGTTTTGAATGGTGCTGGTCTTTCTCAGTAAGTGATGAAGAGGATGAATTAGAATGTGAAGAACCCAGGCTCTTCCTTTGTTCCTTTGTCTTCTGTAAAACTCTTTTATATGACAGGGTGCAAAGCCAGCATAGTAATTTTCCATCAACCTTTTAGAAGAACATTCATATTAGATCAAATGGGTCCTCAAACTCATTATAAATGAAATCTCTTAAGAAATTACCTAAAACTCAGAGAAGCCTTTCAAAGAGGTTAACTAAAATTATTCTCAAACTTGGAAAACAAAACCTTATATAGAATTTTTAAAATAGGCAGTCTAATGCCACTTCAGATAGATTTCAGCATTGCATTTTAGTTTAGTTTTTGATGAGGTTTTTGTGCCATAATCAGAACCTGATGTTTGTGGAATTGATTTGAAATGAGAACTTATGAATATATAATCCATTAAGGGCAAATTATTCTTTCTCCTGTTCCTATAAGTTTAAATTTCTGTTCCATTTCTAGAAATAGCAGCAGAAGGTACCTGCCATGTCATTACTAACATTTATTTCCGTGCATATTGTACACTGGCTAATAAATTAATATATATTTTCCACAACAGCAAAATCTTCAACTTTGACTGAAGGAACAGAAAGAGATCCATTTACAAATCTGTGTAAAATACAAAGCAGACTTAAGATGAAATGTCGTTACTACTAAGTAAAAACCTAGGATCTATAAACATCTAAACTAAGAAATGACTCAAAAGTACTGCAACTACACAAGTCACTAAACGCAAGTCTTGACTCCAGGGTTCAATGCTGTCACAACAATGCCTCATGGGACTGCAAATGGAACCAGCCACCCAGAAATACACAAATGTTATCAATTTCACCTTCAGTTCAGATCAGTGATATGACTGTATTTCTGGATGTCACAGTACCATGAACAAACAATAATTACCTTTCTTCTTCCTTCCTCTTTCCGATCAAAAGCACATTGTTGTTTGCACTGTTCACAGGTTTGAGGTGGTCCATATTTCTTTTCCGAATTTGTACAACGCTGACACTTTGTGCCAATGAACGCTGCAATAATATTACAGTACTGACAAGGCTTGGGCTGAAATTGACAGAGAAACAACTTTCTTTAATCTAGGCATTACAATGTTGGAAATCCTTGTAATACTGCAGTGTAAATATCAAATACTTTTTTTTACATTTGGAAATAGCATTCAAAAGTTATCTGCTCAAACTTAACCACAACTCAAGGACACTATTTTGTTTTCTTTTTGGACTTTCGGGCTCACTGTTGTGCTTTGGGAAAACTGAAATAATATGAACCCAGTAGTAACAATTGTGTTTTTTTTTAAAAAAAACACTAATATGTAAAAAAATTAAATAAACGTTATAAATGCATACTCCCAACTTCTTAGTCACAGTAAATATTAAGGAGTCATATTAATTTAAGACTTATCATATACCCCACAGTCAGTTTTGAAAAAATTTGTACAATGTACATAAACCACATCAAACATAATTTCATCTTTCTTTTGACAAGAAAACATTGCAGAATTTTGTAGCACCTAAGATCCTCATAATGAACATCAATACACTATACTGTACTATACTATCATGGATCTAAGTATATGAGATTAGACAGAATTTGTATTGATTGATAGATCATAAAATTGCTTTTCGAAATAAGTCCTTCATACTTCTTTCATGAAATGCTGTAATTTGAGGGGGAGAAAAGACAGGAAGATTTCAACTTTCTGAACGTCTAGGTGCTGTATAAATAAGAGTACTACATTTGTTTAAATGTTTTTCCCCCAGGAAGTGTGGCTTCACAAACTCTAGATTTAAAATGGGCAAAGAAATTGTTAGTTTCATAGCAGAGGGCTTGATTATCTCAATTCAATTATTCTATATTTAATTAAATTTATGAAGTAATGATTTTAGGTATGTGTGCTGAAATTATTTGTGTATCTGAAATTAACACATACTTTCTATATAAATGCTTTGTCTATAGTAAGAAATATCATTTGTCAGGTAATTCTTCAGTGACAAAGTGAAAAAGTAAGTAAGGCACAGACTTACTGTCCCAAACTGCTTCACATTTTGCGCACACTTCTTGCAAATTGTGTTAGTTTTGCTGAAAAGAAAAATTCACATGCCATAATTAACTTTAAATACAACTTTTAAGTCACTGACAGACCATCCAGATGAACATACACAGCTGATTATAATAGGTCAAGAACAGCTCAAACTATATACTTCTTCAAAAGTTGTTTTTAAAAATAGTAAATATTGTTTTTCAACATTAACTCTTGGTCCTATCAGCAAATACTACAAATTAATTTGAGAAGATCAATATTTTATAAGAAATAACTACAAAATTGGGATTATTGCTAGTAAAAGTGAATCTTGGAGAAATGTTTTATGATCTTAAAGGTTTTAATTATTTATATACAAACCTTTCCTGCTGAAATTCTGATCTGCAATAAGTACATTTTACAATGGGATGTGCAATCCGACATTCCTGCAAGAAATTAATACGGCGATCAGCGTTTGGCATACCTTCCGAAAAAGGAGGAGAGCAAACCTCCATAAATGTCAAAACAAGAGTATAATGTCTCTGCAAGTAGAGTAGGATTATGTCCTAACATCTAATTGTTCAGCTAAAATATACTGTAATTCTTTAAGAAAAAGGTGGGTCTCTTTGTGTTTATAAGATTTGTATATGTTACTGGTAGGTTAAATACGATGGTAACCTGGAAGAGTCAATTTCAAGGTTTGGAACCATCTGAAAATGCTTTTACTATTTTGCGATGCTGCTTACAAACGACCACGTTTGCTTTTAGTAGATCTGAGAAGATCCGCATGTGCCCAGCACTCTGTTCCATTCCCAACAAGTCGCTCTGCTTTTCTGTGCAGGAGAGGTCACCATTCAGTGCCCTCGTGAGAGGTTTAAAAGTGATCCCTAAATCCGGGAAGGGGTGAGCTGAAAGGTCAGGGAACGGGGACAAAAATACCTCCTGCGGGAGACAGGTGGCTGGCAGCCCGGCCCCACCCCGGGAACCCTCCGAGATCTCGGCCGGGATCCCAGGCCACCAGGCGGGAGGGAGTCTCCGCTCACGCCCCGCCCCGCCCCGCGCAGACAGAAAGATCCTAGACCCCGAATTTCCAGCCCCAGACTCCAACCCCCGAGGCGCCGGCGACGGGGGGAAGGAGGCGGAGCGCGGGACACCCAGCCCCCTCCCCCGGCCACGTCCGACCAGACCCCGCCCGGCGCACACGGACCTTGCAGAGCTGCTGCCCCTGGGAGAGCTCCTCGAAGGGATAACGCTGAGTACACTTTGTGCAGGCGTACAAGGCCGAGGCCGCCATCCTCCTCCTTTTGCTCTTCCTCTGCCGCCCGCTGCAACGCGGGGCCCTGCGGGGGACTCCGGGGCAGCCTGGGCACCCGGGCCCGGCCGCGCGCTCCTCCCGACGCTTCCCTCCTCAACCCCCACCCCGTGCCCACAACGACTCCGCGCTAGGACCCAACGACGGCGCCTCCACCGCCGCGGACTAAATACCAACGCCACAGCCGTCTCCCTCCGCCTTGCTTCGCCACCCGCCCTCCCGTCCCCGCAACGGTTCCCGGCCGCTCCCTCTTAGGCCCCGACGGCGGCGGCGGAGGGAGACGAAACGGAGAGTCGAGGTGTAGATTAGCTGCGAGGCTACAGATCCGCTTCCTTCTCCTTCTCTCTGTTCTCATTCGGATTGGCTGTCGCCGCCTTCACGTCACTCAGGCGCCACTCCCATCCTCACCCCGGATACGCAGAGAGCCCCCACAAAGGAAGAAGGTCACTAACCAATAGCAGCTCGCTGCCGTCCGCGCGCGAAACGCACTTAAAAACCTTTCCCCTGCACTGAGGCCCGTGTCGTTCTGCTCGCTAGTGGCCAATCCGGCGTTTGGGGGAGGACTCTCCGATCCAATTGGGTAAATGCCCACCAAAGATTTTTCCCTCCTGCTCTTCTGACTCGGTGTTTCTTGACTCCAATTGGACCGAGTAATTTGAGCGCCTTCTATACTCCCTCGTTATTGGTCGTACTTTGGTAAGCACGTCCATGTAAGAACTACCCCCAAGCCATTGTCAGTCTCATCTCTGAACTTGAGCAAAGGAGGCAATCTGGATATTTTGTACCCCCGAGGCCTTCTACGTCAGTTTGGTTTATCGATTTTTTATGTTCATTTTAAGACACCAACCCAAACTAATACTCGGAAAAGTTTCCTTTGCCCCCATTGCCCTCTTCAAACCAGCCCTGCCCCTTCCTTGCGTCTCCTTTGGAATTATCCTGTTTTGTTATTGGCCCTCTTCGCTTTCAATCCTACACCTTGTGGCGTCATCTTGGGGAAAGGGCGGGTTCTCTCCCTCCCACCATTCCCGGACCATGTCCTCTTCTTTGATTGGTTATTTGTGACGCCTGTCCAGGTTTGTTGTCCTTTCGATGTGCGTAGGGTGGCGCGCGAGTGGGAGGGGGTGGTAAATCTCTGGCTTCCCAACTTGTCGCAGTCCCCCACTGCCCCCTCCGCTCTCAGCCCGCCGCAGGCTCGGTGGTGGCCCACGCTCCACCGGGCAAGGGGGTGGGTCGTCCCCTTGTAGGCGGGGCAGGAGCCGTGGGGCGGGGCTGGTGAATTGCGGCCGTCCACAGTAGGAGGAGCCTGCTGGCAGGCGGGAAGATGGCGGCGTCGGCAGGTTATTCTCGATTCGCGGTAAGGGACTGTTTGCGTTCGAACGGGGTCAGGGACGTTCCTGGGCCCGTTGCGGCTCTGACGCCCCCTGCCTGGGCCCTGTCGGATTCCTGGGGAGCCACACCCGCTTCCCGAGTTCCCCCAGCTCTTTCCTCCCCTCTCCCTGCCCTTTCACAGCGTCTCTCGCTTCCAGGTTCCCTGGGTTGAACCCGGCCCCGGAGGTGGAGGTGATCTGTGCCCCCTGGCCCGCCGGGGGTCTTCCCCTCGCCCCCACCCCCGGGCGCAGCTGTTGACACGCAGGGCGCTGGGCCCTGCAGCCGCCAGGATTGCTGCGTCCTACAGTGCAAGAAGACCTGGACGGGCGGCAATATTGGTCAGGATGGCCGAATTTAATGGGATGCTCAGTAGGGATGAGTATAGGATCTGACGCTTGGACTTTAAAAAAAAATCTATTTCACAAGTGTAAAAAGGGGGGAGGTATATCTGGACACCAGTATGACTGAGAAAAGATTTGGGATTTTTATTGGACTCCAAACTCTAGCTGAGGGAAGTGTATCATGGTTAGCAAGAAAATTAGAGAATCTAATAGTCTCATTAATAGCATCCATAATGAGGGAGGTGATTGTATTTTAAAATGGTAAAGTCACATGTGGTTTCAGTTTTGCATAGTATTTAGAAGGACTCTAGTTGAATGGGAAAGAAGAATTAGGTTGGGTGCAGTGGAAAGAGCCCTGGATTTGGAATTAGAGGAGCTGAACTTCAATCCTGGCTCTGCCATTTATTCACTACTTCTGTGACACCGAGCAATTCACTATATGTCTCTGGACCTGTTTCCTCATTTGTCAAATGCAGGTCTTGGCTTCTGAAACCCCTGCTCTATGATCCTATGACATAGTAAATAAATAGTTGTCATGTGGAAGGGTCATTCAACTTTGCTAAAGCAGAGTTCCCAAAAGTTCCCAAAGTTGGTGCAGTCTCACTAGAGATCTTCTAACAAAGGCTGGAAAACCACTGTCAGTTTCACTTTTGCGACTTATCTCAAATATGCCCATTTCTCTCCTCTGACACTGCCACCAGATCCTCCTCATTCCTGGATTATTGTAATACCCTGCAGGGTGGGTCTGCCTGCCTCAAGTCTTTCCCCGCTCTAGTCCATCCTCCATTTAGCCACTAAAGTGATTTTCCTAAAATGCAAATCTGTTCACATCCATCTCCCCAATAAACTCCTATAGCTTCCCACTTTTGCCCATGCCCTTCCTCTTTTCTCCACCAAAATCCTAATTACCCTTCATGGCCTAATTGAAATCTCTACTTTAATGAAACCTTTCCTGATTAGCCTCCATCGTTCAGTAGCTATATGACTGTCATATTTAGGTATGTCTGACCTCCCCTACCAAATGCAAACTTGTGGAAGTAAGGGGACCCTGTCTTATAAGCTTTTCATCTCCCATCATGCTTTATACAGTCAGCAAACAATTCATTTAGCATCTGCTAGGTTCCAGGCATTGTGTTAAGTGTTGAGAATAATAATAATAACATTTATGTAACACTATATGCCAGGTGTTGTGACTAAGCATTTTACAATTATCTCATTTGCTCGGGTACTGTTATTCCCATTTTACAGATGAGGAAACTGAGGCAAACAGGTTTCGTTGACTTGCCAGGGGTCACATGGCTAGTAAGTGTCAGAGGCCAGATTTGATTTGGAGTTTCCTCACTCCAGCCTCAGTGCTGTATCTACTGTGCCACAAAAGGCCTAAAGACATTCCCAGCCCTCAAGGGCTAAATATAGTCTAATAGGAGAGACAGTATGCAAATATACTAACTAGGCATATACAGGATTGCAGATAATCAAAGAGGGAAAGCACTAGAATTAAGGGGGGATTGGGAAAGACTTCCTGTAAAGGTGAGATTTTGACTGGAACTTGAGAGAATTCTGGGCATTGAGGACACCAAATGAAAATACCTGGAATCAGAAGATTTTTGTGTTTTATGTGAGGAATAGCAAAGAGACCAGTGTCATTGGAACACAGTGGGGAGGGGAGGTTGAGGCCCCCTCCGCCTTTTTTATTAAGGCTTTGAATGCCAAACAGGATTTTATATTTGATCTTGGAAGTGATAATGAACTACTGGAATTTATTGAGTAGGAATGGTGACATGATCAGAGCTGGGGGTTAAGATCATTTTGGCAACTGAGTACAGAATGAACTCGGTTCCATCTGACTTCTCCTACTTGTTTTAAGGCGAAAGACCAACCAGCAGGCTATATAAAAATATAGGCCTTAGTGATGAGGGCCTGCACCAGAGTGGTGCAGAAAAGAGAAAAGACGTAAAAGAGAGAAATAAAATCAACAGGCCTTGGCAACAGATTGGCTGCAGGGAATGAGAGAGAGTGAGAAGTCAAGGATGATACCTGTTAGAAATAGGAAAAGGTTTAGGGGGGAAAATGAGTTCAGATTTAGATCTATTGAGTTTGTGTGTTTGTGGGAATCTAGTTCTGAGATGTCCAATAGGAAGTTGGAGGTGTGAGGCTGGAAACCAGTAGAGAGGTTAGAGCTGAATCAGTAGATATAAGAATGATCACCATAAAGATCATAATATCACCATAAAGGTGATAATTAAATTTGTGGAAGCTGAAGAGATTACCAGTAAAATAGCACAGAGGGAGAAGATAAGAGGGCTCAGGACAGAGCTCTGTAATCAAATATTTGTTGAAGGAGTGAGTGAATAATTGAGTTCCTACTGTGTACCCAGTACTACAGGAAATAATTTTAGTAGGTTGTTGAGCTCACTAATGTTTATATTCCCTTCAGAGGTATAGATTGTGGCCCCTCAGGCCGTCTCATCTTGTATCATTCTTGTCCTCCTGTGAAACCTCCACAGAGGGGATCCACACACATACTGAGGGCTTTCCTTGAATTCTTTTGACATTGTAGAGACACCATGGAAACACTTAAAACCAGTCCTGGCCCTTTGTTACAGGGATACATTTAGAAACATTAAGAGCATTGTCCAATTTTCCAGATGCAATCTGGTATGCTGTCTTCATCCTAATCAAACTTGGGCCCAATTTAGTGTCCATCTATAGCATCTACCCAAAATATCTGTAATAATGGACCACCTTTGTCAAATATACATCCAATAGCATATCACAGAATAATAGTTATCTTTCATCAACTTGTTTTTTCCTATGTATATGGTTTGGCCATATAATTTTTTGAATGATTAGAGATACATTTTTGTAGAGATACATAGAGATGCATTCTTCCATGCAAACTAGAAGCTTACAATCTAGTTATGAAAACAAAATTTATGTACATGAAACAATTTGAGACCAATTTAAGAAAGTTTGTATATGAGTGCTAAATTGGATAGCTAGGACTGTTCATAATAATAGGTCCCTTGTCTTTAACTGAATAAAGTAAACCTATACTCCAATGGGAATTAGTTCAGCTGACATGAGATTCATTAAGGCAAAGTACCAGAATGATACTAGTTTTCCTCTCAGGACAAATTAAGAGAAGACTTAGTGTTTGAATCAATCAATCAGTCGGTTAGCATTTAAATCCATTCTGGGAGTCTGTTAAATGCTAGGGATATAAAGACCAAAAAAAGGGACTGTTTCTTTAAAAATCTGGTTGTGTTAGACTAACTCAATGTCTTTTTTTGCAGACTTATTAGACTAATAGGAAAATGGAATGCTGTAGAGTTTATCTATATTTTAGCAAAGTAAATGACCATAACTAATGCAATTTTTGTGGACAAGATGGAGACGTGAGCTAGATCAGTTTCTTTATCTGTAAAATGAAGGGAGTTGTACAACATTGCCTCTGAGGTCCCTTCCAGCTCAAATTCTATAATCCTAGTAGCACAGTTAAGTGAATTCAGGATTGATTGACTGGCTGGACATGAAGGGAAATCGTTGATGCTTCACTGTCAGCTTGGGAGTTTGCAGAGGAGTGGCCCCAGGACTTGTGTTTGGCCATATGCTATTTAACACTTATCAGTGCTTTGGAACAGCTTATGGTTGTTGATGGCATGTGTAGGTGATAAACAAAGCTAAGAACAATAGCTAACAAATTGAATGAGACAGTCAGGAGCCAAATGGTAGAACATTGGTCCAAAGCTAATACACTTAAATGGAATACATAGACTTAAAAATAAAACCTTAGCCCTGAGTCCAAAAAACCAACTTCACAAATACACTAGTAGAGCTGAGGGTTTTAGTGGACCACAAACTCAGATAATTCAATAATATGATATAACAGTCAAAGAAAAAGCTCTAATACGTTTTAATAATGGCTAAGTATTTTTGTGTTTAGTTCTGGGTACCTTATTTTAGGAAGTACATTGACTAATTTCAGAGCATCCAGGAGAGAACAACCAGGATGGTTAAAAGTTTCAAAATCATGTTGTAGGGCAATCATTTGAAGGAACTGGGGAAGTTTAACTAGGAGAATAGAAGACTTAGATGACACGATAGCTGTCTTCAAGTATTTAAGATGGCTAGGTGGTGCAGTGGATAGTGATGGACCTGGACATGAGATTAATCCAGCCCTCAGACACTTACCAGCTATATGATCCTGGGCAAATCAGCCAACCTTTCTATGCCTCAGTTTCCTCATCTGCCAAATGGGATAATAATAGTGCCTACCTTTCAGGGTTGTGTGAGGATAAAATGAGATAATATTCATAAAACATTTTGCAGAAGTTAAAGCACCATAAATGCTAGTTCTTTGAAGGGACATTATGGGGAAAGGAAATTAGATTTGCCAGAGTACAGAATTAGGAACAAGGGTTGAAACTGCTGGTAGTAAAGGAAAATTTCTTAATAAATAGAACTACCAAAAAAAAGGTAGAATGGACCATGCCTTCACTAGAGGTCTTCAAGCAAATATAGATGGACCCCTTTGGGGATTTATTGTAGAAGGATTCTTATTAAGTTACAGGTTGGATAAAATGGCCTCTGAAATTCAAACCCTGTAGTAAAAAGCAATAGAAGATTTTTGAACAAAGTATTAAAGCAATTAAAATGCAGTTTCAGGGGCCTTAATTTTCTTATATGTAAAATAAAGGGAGTTGAATAAATTACCTTTAAGGTCTCTTGAAGCTCCAAATATGTGATTCTAAAATTAATCTAGTGACTAGGTATAAATAGATTTGGAGGAAATGCTGAAAGAGACTGAACACCCTGCTGTCTTAATTTATCGATTATAACTCCCAGAAGGATGATTTTACTTTTAACTGTTCATGACCCTGAACCCTGAAATTCCCAATATGACCTTTTATCCTATTTCTCTCTGCCTCATTTCTCTTAAATATATTTTTTGTTCTCTCTGGGAGCTCCCTCCACTGCTTTTCTGTTCTCTCACGCAAAACAAGAATCCCACCCAAAAAAGTTGTGGTCACAAGGATCCATATCTAGAAGACCCAAATCCAGAAGAAAATGACTAAAACATTTACAAACAAAGCCTCAAAGAAAAACATGATTTGAGCTCAAACTCAACTAGAATTCCTTGAAAAGATGAAGCAGTGGTTTTAAAAAAAAGTTTTAAGATGTTTTTATCAAAAAAATTAGAGTCCTAGAGGAGAAAAAATAGAAAAAGAAGTAAGAACTATGGAGAAAGAATTGCAAGGATAATTAACAGTTTGGCACAAAGAGGTACAAAACCTTGTCCAAGCAACAAGCTCCTGGAAAATTAGAATAGACCAAATAAAAGCCAATAGCTCCATGAGACAAACTTTAAAACAAAGTCAAAAGAATGAAAACATAAAAGAAAATGTAGGTGTCATCATATCAAAAACTACTAATCTGGAAAACATTGAGGAAAAAAAATTAAGACTCATTGAACTAGCTAAATACAAAGACCATAAAAAGAGCCTAGACATCATATTTCAAGAAATTTTAAAAAAAAAAGTTACCTAGAACTCTTAAAATCAGAAGGCAAAGTGGATAGAAAGGATCCACTGATCACTTCCTGAAAGAAATCCCCAGATGAAAACTCTCAGGAACATCGTATCAAAATCCAGAGCTTGCAGGTCAAAGATGTTCTAAGCAACCAGAAAGAAAGAATTCAGTTACACATTATTTACCAACCAGCAATATAAAAGTATCAGAGAACTTGGAATACATTATTCCAGAAAGCATAGGATATAAGCTTATAACCAAAAATAACTTACCCAGCAAAAGTATAATGTTATGGGGGGGTGGGTAGGGATGGATTTTAATGAAACAGAAGACTTCAAGCGTTGCTGTTGAGAGACCAGAGCTGTGTAGAAACTTTGGAGTTTGAACATAGGAGTTGAGAGAAACAAAAAAAGGGGGGGGTACATAGAAATGAACGATCATAAGTGATTAAACAAGGATAAACTTCTTACATTCCGTAATATGAGAAGATGATACATATGATCCCTTTGAGCCCTGTCATCATTGGAGTTCATAGAAGGAGTCTAATTAGGCTGGGCCTTGGAATATTCTGTTATGTCTTGATGATCTTAAGAATGAAAAGAGAAGGGAAGAGAAATACACTCAGAAGGATGGAGAGGGGAAAGGAAGTTATAATCAGAGTATACAAGTAGACATCTATACAAACAAGGAGAAGGGGTTGAGGAGAAGCTGCTGATACTTGAACCTGACTCTTATCTGAACTGGTCAAAAGAGAGAAGTATACCTGCATACATTGGATACATTTTACTCAATGGAGAAACAGAGAATGTGGGGAGAAAAAGTAGGGGAAATTAGAGGGAGGGATTAGTCCTAAGCAAAACAAACTTTAAGAATGTACAAAAATATAGCTCTTTTTGAAGTAGCAAAGAATGGGACATAAATTGGGTAATGATTGACAAAGTTATAGTATACAAATGTGATGGAATGCTGATGCTGTGAGAAATTATGGAGGGCATGGTTTCAGACAGACCTGGGGAGACATGTATGAACTGATGCACAGTGAAGTGAACAGAAGAAGGAGCACAATTTATGCAATAATAGTAATACAGTAAAGACAGAACTTTGAAAGAATTAGGAACTCTGATCACCTAAAACACAATCCTGGAGGACTAATAATGAAACAGCTACTTTCTGATAAAGAGTGAAAGATTCAGAGTGTAGAATGAGACATTTATTCATTTATTTAGCCATTTGCCTGTTTATTTTGGGATTGACCAAGGCGGGCATGTTTTGTTTGCCTATACAAAGATAAGATTAGATATGAGGGGTCGGAGTGAGGAGTAGAAGATGACAGCTAAATTGTAAGTCTGGTACCCTCAACAGTAATAAGGAAATTAGAAAGAAGGTAGTTTTTGGGGGAGAAGATAAGTTCATTTTTGGACATGTTGAGTTGGAAGTGTGCATGCAAGACTGGAAGTCAGGAGAGAGCTAGGGCTGGATAAATTGACCTCACAATCTTTTGCATGGTGATTATAATTGAATCCAGCAAAGCTGATGAGATCACAAGCAATATAGAAGGCTCCAGACATATTCTTGGAGAACATCCATGATTGGGGTACAACCCAAATGACGATCCAGCAGAGGAGACTGAAAAGGAGTGATTAGACAAATAGGAGGAGAACCAGGTCAGGAAAACCTAGAAAAAAGAAAGTATCAAAGAGAATAGGGTAATCAGCAATGTCAGAGGCTGCAGAAAAGTCAAGGAAAAGGATTGAGAAAAGGCCATTTGATTTGGGGCTTGGGAAATGGGAGAAGGAGAGAAAAGTTTCATTTGAATGATGAGGTTGGAAGGCAGACTACAGAGAGTTAAGAAGAGAGAGAAAAGGAATTGAAGGTACCTATTGTAGATGGCCTTCTCAGGTCGTTTAACTACAAAAAGGGAAGAGAAATAGCACAGTAGCTAGTGGGGATGGACAAATCAATTGAAGGTTTTTTGAGTTTGAGAAGACATAGAAATGTTTGTAAGCAGTAGAAAAGTAGCAAGTAGACTAGAAATTGAAGATTAGTAAAAGTGGGGTTGCTATGTATGGTTTTTAGTGTTTCTTTAAGAAGATTTGGAATTTACAATGAGATATCAACAAACTTTAATGTTATCCAAGTATACCTTAATGACTTTTCTAACTAGATTGATTATAAGATCCTTGAAGGCAGGAACTATTCCTTAAAATTATTTTGTAGTTTTGGGTATCATAGACACAACCGACACTTGTCAAAGGGCTGACTATTGTAATCTTTTTTTAAAATATATTTTTGATCTTTTAAAAAATAACTTTATGATTATAAAAATTGCATATATAAGCTATAGTTCAAACAAACCTAACTAGCATTTATACATGGTTTAGGGCTTACCTAAAAATGCTAATAATTAAATTTTCTTTGCTTTTGTAGTGCTTGTTGTATATATAGGTAGACGTGAAATTCTTGGTTAGTTTTCTTTTATAATGGAAATAGGTATGCTGAACTATTTCTACTATATCCAGAGGCAGCAGATTGAAGCACAAATTTGAACTCTACTGTTACCAAAACTAAGATTATTGCTATTTCAAGGCCTATTAAAAGTATTTACTAATCATTTGTCATTAACTAAACTAAACTCTATTTCATTTTTCAGAACATCCTACCTGAACCACCTTTGTCTACTGCAGCCATGGTTCGACTGTCTGCATCTTCTTACGTAGGCTATCCACCTGATAAGCCTTTCCTTAATTCGGATATACGACGCTCTCCACAAAAACCAACGTGTGCCTATCCAGAAAGCAATAGCAGAGGTAAAGTAGGCAAATAATTTTGATTTTATTTGAGGTTAGATTGGAGTTAAAATTGTGTGGGAGTCATATTTTTCTATTCATTTACAATAATTAATGGGAATGGGGTGAAATTCCCTTGAAGTCATAAGAATTAACTATTTTCCTTCAAACCCTCTTTTCTTCCAACTTTTTCTCTTTTTAGGCAATTGGGGTTAAGTGACTTGCCCAGGGTCACACAGCTAGTAAGTGTCAAGTGTGTGGTCTGAGGCCGGATTTGAACTCAGATCCTCTTGACTTCAGGGCCAGTGCTCTATCCACTGCGCCACCTATCTGCCTCCTTCTTCCAACTTTTTTAAGAAAAGGTGGGGCAGCATTTTGGCTTATATAATCACTTGCATTTGAAAGTTTGTGGAACCAACAGGCAAATAGAGAATTGTATAATTTTAAATCTAGCGTAGACTTGAGGATGTTATTCTACTCTAACCCCTCACCAAAACATATTTATGTCATCCAAAACCAATAGGTGTGTATTTATTCTCTTTCATTCTTGGGATCATAGATCTACAACTGAAAGGGACCTCAGAGACTTCCCAATCCAACTCTCTCATTGTGTAGATGAGAAAACTGAGATCTAGAGAAATAATATGACTTGCCCATGGTCACATAGTATGTTAAGCAAATATCTTAAGTTCAGAGATTCTCAGGAGTCAGTTGGTGCCATATGTCAGTATCTTAGCATCTTTACTGAAGGCCATTCTCCCTTTACGTATAACCTAACCCCTCTTTCTGCAAATTAAACTTATAAAATAGATGTGGTTTTAAAAGGTGAGTAAATTTTGTGAGTTGAATATTATTTTAAATCTACTAAAGGAGCCAATGCCAAATATTTTTGTTAAAGAGGATGTCTTTTGTTAAGTGGGAAATAGAATCATTCAATTCTATATTTTAAGTAACTATGGAAGATTTTAGAGACAGACTTCAGATCAGAAAGAGCTGATTTCAAATCCTGCCTCTGACCTAGCCTTGTGATTATGGGTAAGTCACTTCATCTCTTTGAGCCTCAGTTTCCTCATCTGTAAAAAGGGGGATAAGAATACCCATAGTACCTACTTAACAGGGTCTAAATAAAGTTCAAATGACGTAATGTGTGTTAAGTGCTTTGCAAATTTAAAATGTCAGTTATTATTTCTTTTATATTTCCCCATAGTGTTTAGCTTAGTACTAAGATGCTGATTTACCTAGTTTTTTAATGTGGATTTTAAAACTCCAGATATGTAGTATTTATACAGAATACAAACAACCAGATAGTTCAATAATCTGAATTTAAATTATAGTTCTATAAAATTGTAATTGATCATATTAATGATTCAGAGGCATTGTAAGATTATTGAATAACTTCTAAATTATAAAAGAAAAAAGTGTATTATGTGTCTTCATTATGTTCATATGATTTAGGTGCTGTATAGTATAAATATTTTTGAACTGCTGATTTAAGTATGCTATGTGGTAATTCTGAGTTATTTAGAACATTCAGTTATTCATTCATAGGCATTCTATATTACTGGATATAACTATAGTTCAATACTTAGTGGAAATATGCAAACTGCTTAGTGTCTTTCTTTTAACATACCAGAAGTTAGTTATAGCCAGTCCTTAACTCGTTTTCACCACACTTAAATATGTCCGTCCTATATAAATGGCCACCCAGCAACCTTCTGCTCTATTCTTGCATTTGTGCTTGGAATTTTCCATTCTCTTCCCTTACCTTCTCCCTCCTTGGGCTGCTATATGGAAAGTTTTGCTTCCTCTGGCCATATTTTATACCACACCTCTCTCCAGCTCTACAATTTGTGTATCATGAGCATTGTTTTCCTTTTGTACCATCTCAAATCCCACTTAGAGCCTCATCCTACTTTTCACCTAGGGACCTAGCCTGCATTCTGTGGTGAAACAACCAATATTTTGTTAAATCTCATAGAGTACTTAACTATGACCCTCATTTTAGAGGTTAGGAATCTGAGATTTAGAGAGGTAACCCGAATTTCATTTTTCTCTGTAGTATAAATGGATTTTACTTCAGTTTTTTATGAACCCACAAGTAACTTGGTTTTTTTAGGGAAGTCTATGAATTAGAGAATGGAGTCACTTGAGGCAGAGGTCAAGTTAATACAGGCAAGAGGTGAATAATGAGATAACGTATTTAAAGAGCCTGTGTGAGTAGAGGATTGATGCAAGAGGTGTTTGGGAGGTAGAGATGACAAGATTGGATGTGTGGAATGAGGGAGAATGAGGAGTTGGGGATGACTTTGTACTTGAGGTTATGAACCTGTGTGACTGGGGAGAGGGTAGTGCCCTCAAAAGAAAGAGGGGAAATTTGGAAGAGAGGGGTGGATATTGGAGGAGTTCAATACATATTTGTTATTAAATATCTAGCCTATACAAAGCACTGTGCTTGATGCTGTGGATACCAAGAGAAAAATGCAACAGTTTTTTGCCATCAAGAGGCGTACATTCTACTGAGAGGGAAACAACATATATGCAGATAAGGAAGTACAAATTAATTTCAAGAGGAAGAGAAGTATAGGATGAGGACAGGCCCCATATAGAGGAGGTGACACTGGAGCAGCGTTCTGAAAGAAGCTTGAGATCTCAGGAGGTGAAAGTGAGGAGGCCATGCATTCTAAACGCAGACAGCCACTTGGGCAAAGGCAGAGGCAGAAGTGAAATGCTAATTCTAGGAAAAGCAGGTGGGCTTGAATATAGAGTGCATGAAGGGGAGGAAAGTAAAATGAGACTGGAAATGTAAGTGAGAGTTATATTCTAGAAGGCTGTAAGTACCGGACTAAGGATTTTGTATTTTATCCTAGAAGCAAAAGGTAACCATTAAAGATTTTTACATTGGAAAATGGCATTGTAAAATTAATGTTTTAGCAATAGCAGTTTGGCATTTATGTGAAGGTTGGATATGAAGGGGGAAAAACTGAAAGCTGTTTGATTTCCACTTGTCTTTTCTTGTTTTTTTTTTCCTTCAGCCTAAGATTAATACTGCCATATTGACCAAAACACAATTTCCATTTTGAAACAAAAAGGTTTAAAAATTGCAATTTTTTATTCCACTCCATTTTTTTTCTTCTTCTGGTTGGTAAATTGTCTTTGTAATGCTTAATTTTTATTGGTATATTTTGTTTTTACTTCACTTTCAATTCTACATATATCCTTCTTCCCCTACTTAGATAACCATCCCTTAATAAAAAGAAGAAAAAAAAATTTGAGCAAAATAAACCATTTTAGCTGAATGATAGTATCTGTAGTGTTCCTGCAACAGAAGAAGGGAGGTGGAATTCTTTGTCTCTTCTTCTTCTCCTTCTCTTCCTTCTCTTCTTCCTCTTCTTCCTCCTCCTCTCAAAGTGTATTTATCTTTTTTTTTATGTTTTAGGGTTTTTTTAGGCAATTGGGGTTAAGTGACTTGGCCAGGGTCACACAGCTAGTAAGTGTCAGGTGTTTGGTGTGAGGTCAAATTTGAACTCAGGTCCTCCTGACTTCAGGGCCGGTGCTCTATCCACTGATACCTAGCTGTATTTATTCTGGGGAGTCAACGTGTATATGCATACGTTAGTATATACAAGAAGTACATGCATACATGTATATACATTTTTGGGGGGTAAATAGTATTTTTTTTCAAATTACATGTAAAGATAGTTTTCAACATTCATTTTTTATAAGATTTTGAGTTGCATATTTTTTCTCCCTCCCTCCCATTGCTCCCTCCCCAAGACAGCAAGCACTCTGATATGGATTATGCATGTGCAATCATGTAAACATATTTCCACATTAGTCATGTTGTGAAAGAAGAAACAGAAGAAAAGGAAAAAAAACAACAGAAAAAATGAAAATTTTGTGCTTGAGTCTGCATTCAGACTCCATAGTTCTTTTTCTGGAAGTGGATAGCATTTTCCATCATGAGTCTTTTGGGGTTGTCTTAGATCCTTGCATTGCTGAGAAGAGCTAAGTCTATCAAAGTTAATCATTGTACATGTCGCTGTTACTGTATGCAATATTCTTCTGGTTCTGCTTACTTCACTTAGCATCAGTTCATGTGTAAGTCTGTCTAGGTTTTTCTAAAATCTGCCTGTTCATCATTTCTTATAGAACAATAACATTCCATTACACTGAGATACCACAGCTTGTTCAGCTATTCCCCAGTTGATAGGCATCCCCTCAATTTCCAATTCTTAGCCACCACAAAAAGAGCTGCTATAAGTATTTTTGCACATGTAGGTCCTTTTCCCTTTTTTATGATCTCTTTGGGATACAGACCTAGTGACATTACTGGATCAAAGGGTATACACAGTTTTATAGCCCTTTGGGCATAGTTTCAAATTGCTCTCCAGAATGGTTATATCACTTCACAACTCCACCATCAATGCATTAGTGTCTCAGTTTTCCCACATCTTCTCTAGCATTTTTCATTTTCCTTTTCTGTAATGTTAGCCAATCTGATCGATATGCTAGAGATACAGTTCTTAAGACTTAACAAGTATCATCTTGCCATGTTGGGGTGTAAGCAATTTAACCTTATTAAATCCCATGGTGGTGGGTTTTTTTTTTCTTTCGTATTTACCTTTTTGTGCTTCTCTTTTATTTGAAGATCAGATTTTCTATTCAGCTCTGGTTTTTTCTTTAGGAGAGTTGGAAAGCACCCTATTTCATTGAATGTCAATCTTTTCCCGTGAAAGATTTTGCTCAGTGTTGCTGGGTAGTTGATTCTTGGTTGTAATCCAAACTCTTTGGTTTTCCAGAATATCATGTTTCAAGGCCTCCACACCTTTAACATAGAATCTACTAAGTCCTGTGTAATCCTGACTATGGCTCCTTAATATTTGAAATGTTTCTTTCTGGCTGCTTGCAGTAGTTTCTCCTTTACCTGATCATTCTGGAATTTGGCTACAATATTCCTTGGGAGTTTTCATTTTGAGATCTCTGTTAGGAGGTGATTGGTGAATTCTTTCAATGACTTTTAC